CATGGAAAATATTGGTTTCCTAACAATTTCGGGAAATAACTTTATCAGCTTACGTTATAAAGTGAACCTGTACACTGGAAGTAACAAGATGACATGGAGGTTTATTAGTAGACTGTTCCTCATATTAATGTCTGTACTTTATAATGACACAGACTATAAAACTCTTTATAGGCACAGTAGCAACAACAGAAGCAGAGAGCCACACCGCCTCGACATCCTCTAGACACTCGTTAACACAGTAACAGGATGAGAGCCGTCCGTCTCCCGGCCCGACACACATGGATGTTGTTAAACACCACATGAGCTTTTGGCGGTTTTGTTGTCACTGCGTGTGTTGTATTGTGACAACACAACAGAACCACCTCATCCCTCCAAGTTACTATGTTGTAAGATGATATCTGTTTCAAGGCACCAATGATAAAGAATAATACCTGTAAATTCAAAGGTTTAAGAATTTCATCGTTTGAATCCGATTGGATTATCTAAGCAGGAAATGTGTCGGGTTGAAGGCAGAGCACTTTATGAGGCATATAAACAGTCACAGATGCTGACGCTGTGCAAGTTATTGGGAGGTTTTAAAGAACTGTGTAACTAAAGAGACATATGCCTTCTATCACCAGTTACCATTGGTATGTTGCCTCCAGATATTTTGAGACTTTGAGAGAAACTTTTATCACAGTACTGTTTCTTGTTGGCTGTGACAAAGTTTTATGGTTGTTTGTGATAAAAACTGTCTGGAGAGTGTGCCTTGGTGGGAAGAAAGAGAGGGACAGGAAGGGTAATTCACAGGAAGTAGAATGTGCTTATAAGGGATTACATTTCAAGATGCCAACACATGCCCTCAAGTACAGAAAAGTTTATAAAATATGCAATGAAAGAAATGTGAAAAGGAAGAGAGCGGCTGTGCATCTTTTAACTTAGACCCTTCCAAACCTGGACCTTTTTCAATCTGCCTGACTCATAGGAAGGAAACACTACCTTGGTAAATTGTAGGATTTGGGAAAATGAAAACTGAGGCCAAGCAAGGCTTAATTAAATGAAAACATTGTTTGTCTTTGAATGAACTGAACTCAAAACAAAATTACTCACAGCACTTATGTCATTAAAGCCTGGGGGGAAAAACAAGGATGGATTTGGTGAGATATTTCAAAAGTCAAATCAGTTATCCAGCCAAAAGAACTAAGTAGATAACTCAGTGCTCTGATAGGGCAAAGCAAGTATGGGCAACTGCATATGTGGAGTGTCTGAAAGTAGGTTTTGCGAAACAAGTGGGAGAATCAACACCAGTGGGTGTGTCAACCTAACAGCTAATTGGGCAGATTGGTTGTCACTCAAGACTGTTTTGCGTGGCTGCTTCCTGCTTCCTTGTAGCATTTTAGCTAAGCCGGTTAGGCAGGTTAGGATCATTAACGTGGCAGGTTAGGAGAACTAACGTAGCAGGTTAGGATAATTAACATGGCAGCTTATGAGAACTAACGTAGCAGGTTAGGATAATTAACGTGGCAGGATAGGAGAATTAACGTGGCAGGTTTGGATAATTAACCTAGCAGGTTAGGAGAATGAGGTTAAGGAAAAGGGTTAGGTTTAGCTAAAACGCTACAAGGAAGTAGCAAGCAGCCACACAAAACGGTCTTGATTGGCAACCAATCTGCCCAATTAGCTGTTAGGTTTCAATACACTCACTGGTGTTGATCCTCCCACTTCCAGACACACTCATATGCAGTTAATTATGGGCTTGTTCGACATTGCAGCCGGCAGTGCAGGCGACTTCCGACTGACTGATCTACAAATCACCTTGCATCATAAATAACTACTCATTATTATTTGTAGATCAGTCAGTCAGTCACCATTTACCCACAATGCATCATGGATTTGATGCTCTCGAACACGGCCCATGACTCGGGCAAGGCGGCAAGACCCATCATCTCCCATGGGTCTGCGGGCCAACAAAAGCAGCACCGCTGCCATGGCGACCACCATTTAATTGGCTAAATGTGCTTTTGAGATTTAACAGAGTCAGGTTTGCTGCCAAGAGTGGGCAGGATAAAGATCAGGGTGGGAAAACACAGGGTCCTGATGGGCATGATTTTAAACTCCGCAGAGAAAGAAAAGAACAGCATTCTGCCAGTGCACCCACTGTTGTTGAATTGCATGCAAGCGACTGACTGTTATGAGGGTGGAAAAAGTACCCAGCTGTCATACTTGAGTAAAAGTAAAGATACCTTAATAGAAAATGACTCAAGTAAAATTGAAAGTCACCCAGTAAAATACTACTTGAGTAAAAGTCTAAAAGTATTTGGTTTTAAATATACTTAAGTATCAAAGTAAAAGTAATTGCTAAAATATACTTAAGTATCAAAAGTAAAATGATAAATAATTTCACATTCCTTATATTAAGCAAACCAGACGACACCATTTTATTTTTATTTTTTTTATTTACAGATAGCCAGGGGCACATTCCAACACTCAGACATAATTTACAAACAAGCATTTGTGTTTAGTGAGTCTGCCAGATAAGAGGCAGTAGGGATGACCAGGGATGTTCTCTTGATAAGTGTGTGAATTGGACCATTGTCCTGTCCTGTTAAGCATTTAAATTGTAACGAGTGTCAGGGAAAATATATGGAGTAAAAAGGATATTATTTTCTTTAGGAATGTAAAAGTAAAAGTTGTCCAAAATACAAATAGTAAAGTACAGATACCCCCCAAAAAACGACTTAAAGTACTTTACACCACTGAGCAGTCATTGGATGTATGATTGAAACCATAGGGTTTCATCAACGCTTGGGGTTTCATCCTATTCCCTCCCCAAGTCCCCAATTTCACCCCCAATCTCTGTCTGAAGCCTATGTTTATTTGTCTTTTAGATCTCTCCTTCTCTCTTTGGCTCTCCTCTCTGGAGGATGACATAAGCATCGGTTCTTTCCCATTTCCCAGAGGAGACCCCACACAGTTCTTCTTAGCATGCATGTGTGTTTCTGTGGGAAAAGTGAAACCCCCGCCCTGGGTACACAAGAAAGGGTCAGCCAGGTCACTGCTACAGAAATACCATAAATACAAACAGATTAACAGATAACTGGACACAGCACTCGGTTAGGAAAGCAAGCTAACTGACTCTGTGTCCTCAGTGGGGATTATGGTGTCCTCAGTGGGGACTATGGTGTCCTCAGTGGGGACTATGGTGTCCTCAGTGGGGACTATGGTGTCCTCAGTGGGGATTATGGTGTCCTCAGTGGGGACTATGGTGTCCTCAGTGGGGATTATGGTGTCCTCAGTGGGGACTATGGTGTCCTCAGTGGGGACTATGGTGTCCTCAGTGGGGACTATGGTGTCCTCAGTGGGGACTATGGTGTCCTCAGTGGGGATTATGGTGTCCTCAGTGGGGACTATGGTGTCCTCAGTGGGGACTATGGTGTCCTCAGTGGGGATTATGGTGTCCTCAGTGGGGATTATGGTGTCCTCGGTGGGGATTATGGTGTCCTCAGTGAGGAGTATCCCAGATAGCACACATATATCGCGCCGACGTCGGACCGATGTAGTATGGAGAGCGTTTTCACATTTGCAAGATGTCGCTGAGACGTCGGCATTAGATGGCATTCGCCCTCCAGCCGCTGTTAGGATGATGCATGTCAAAGCTGCATGCTGCCTAGCCGCTCTAAGGATGACATTAAAAATACCTTTATTTGAGGTCGGAGCCAACAGCAAATAATGTTTCGCTACACGATTTGAATTACCCTTACCAAATGAGTGTAAACATCGAATTTGAATAGAAAATATAACAAAGATTATTAGCTAAATTATACTGGCAATAATAAAAACTAATATGCTTTACTAGACTATAGGTGATTTTGTTTGTGGGTAAAATGAAGAGAGAAGATTCAAGTTAATGTCAAGTTTATACCATCAAGTTCTTAAAAGAACTCCAGCACAGAGAGAGAAACAAGGCACAGAGAAACAGAAACATCACATTTAACAAAAATATAGCTCATGCAGAGGGTGTGCAGTTAGTTCGATAAAGATGGAATTAAGGTTTTATTACAGGCTAAGAGTAGTGAATATGTGATGAATGTATTTACAAAAAAAAGGTAACGTTTGAGCCACCAGAAAATGCGCTTTTATTCATTTACTTAAGCCTATAGGCTTTATACATATTTTCTGATAAAAGTATTGCCAACCATGAACTGAAAATGTTTGACTGTCCATGGGTAGGATACGCCTAAAAGATGTGAAACGTGCCCCACGTGGGTGAGGAATGATTATGCATCGAGAGAAGGCAGCCATTCAAGCATTGTGACACTCGTCTTAATTTCAATGTCTACACGATCTACGGCCGACTCTGTGATGCTGAGCGGCCATGTTACGGTGCATTTCGACCACTCACAGCCGACGTCGGCGAGATGTATGTGTGCTGTCTGGTTATGGTGTCCTCAATGGGGATTATGGTGTCCTCAGTGGGGATTATGGTTTCCTCAGTGGGGATTATGGTGTCCTCAGTGGGGATTATGGTGTCCTCAGTGGGGATTATGGTGTCCTCAGTGGGGATTATGGTGTCCTCAGTGGGGATTATGGTGTCCTCAATGGGGATTATGGTGTCCTCAATGGGGATTATGGTGTCCTCAGTGGGGCCGTAGTGAAGAAATTTACCAGGAACACAATGTCCCCATCACAATGACCTCCGACACTTCATTGGACTGTAGTGGTGATGGCTGGGTGGGGATGGGGAATACGTGGCGGTATTCTGTTACATTCTCCTCGCTAAGCCTTCTGAGACTCAGTGGAAGAGAGAGTGGAATCAGACAGTGAGACACTGAGCTGGCCGTTAGTAAATGGCACAGTTCCTCCCATTGGAGATGACACACAGTGTCATAGTAGAAGAGAACATGTTGATTATTTCCTGTCTGTGGGGGAAGTTCTAATACATTCATTATTTTTGAACCACAGGACTTCGTATTGGAGACAGGCTGGTGAATGGTTGTCAACAAACAAGCAGAGAGGTCAAAATGGAACCAATTAGGAAAGACATGGAACTGCTAAGTAACAGCATGGCGACCTATGCTCACATCAAAGGTAAGACCCCCTTGTTATTTCTGCTTATAGTTCCAGGATAAAGGGACCCTTTGTTCATTATTTTTTATATAAAATTGTCTTATTCTTTATCTTTCATTTTGATGCTTTGAGAATTCCTTCCCGAACGAGCTGCAACCTCTTGAGTTTAACCATAATCCGTTCCAGGGACTTATATGTCCTGTTTGCTTTGGCTTGACCCCCCCTGAACTGTGAAAGTGTCTACATGCTTACCCTTAGGTCCTCACTTCGTGCACCCCCTATTACAGCTAAAGGAAAGTGGCTTTTTATACAGTCAGAATAAAAAGACACGGGGCCTTTTCCGCTCGTGCTCATTGTGAAGACATTAGACAGGAAACGGATACCCAACAAGGCATTCTCAAAGCACGGACAATTCACACGCTGTTGCTGTATTTAGTATGAACGAGACTGCGAATGGCCCTATTGAACCCCTGTCAATGTGGGTGATAGCCTCTAAACGCGCCTGATCTCACAAGCTCACAGTCAGTGTGGTTTCACGAGGCTTTGTAGGTGAGGGATCTAACAACCTGTTTTTCCCATCCAGCCAACCCAGAGAGCTTTGCTCTGTATTTCATGATGGGTGTGTGTTTTGGCCTGCTCCTGGCCCTGTGCCTCCTGGTCACCGGCATCACCTGTAGGACCCGCCGCGCCAAGAAGCCAGCCCCCTCCCCAGAGAGGAGACAACTGAAGGAGTCCAGCGAAGAAGAAGAGGAGGAGGAGGAGGAGGAGAGTGTGGATGTGGAAGAAGGGGAGGAGGCAGAGATCCCTAAAGTGACGGTTGCGCCCATGAGCGACCGCAGCAGCCAATCAAACGGTACTTTGAGGAGCGTGAACGTGTTTGCGTCGGCGGAGGAGCTGGAGAGGGCGAGACGACTGGAGGACAGAGAGCGCATCGTCAGGGAGATCTGGAGGAACGGACAGCCAGATATACTGACCACTGGGACGGGGACCATCGGACGGGTACACTATCATTAACAGACTAATGTGACTTAAGGACCTAAAACATATAGTCTTAACCCTGAACTAATAAGGGTTTATCTACTCCAGGCAGAGACTGTAGAGGACTACTTCATTGGGCACAGATTCCCCTTCATCTTTTAATTAAACGTTTTAGTGTTTTTTTTTTTTTTTACAAACGTATTTCATTATCATTCATGTACAGGCCTATGACAAAAGTGTGTTGCACAATACAATGTAAGCTTTAACGTTTAATTCTTCAATGAGAATTACGATTTTTTCTTCTTCTTCTGGTAATAAAAAATTGAACGTCATAACCACTGCTCCCAATGGACATACATAATAATCGACATGAAAAATACCCCACAATTGATTTACAATGCAGACAGCTTGAAGAAACAACCACCAACATTGCTGCCTCTTCTTGTATAATGTCAACATTTGCTTATTGACTCTTCTGTGGTTGTAACGCTGCTCCCACACAGTCCAACCCTCCAAGCTCCAACCCTCCAGGCTAATCTTAGCCGGCTAGAAGTCTTCCCACAGAATCCGCCCAGCCTTTAACCCAGCGTTAGCCGCCACCTCTGACCCCATCACTTCCTGTGTTGCCCTTTCCAGTCCTAGCAGCCTCGCTGTAACAGCCAGCAGCTCTATCCTCATGGGAAGGATTGTCGAGGACTTTATGAAAAGGCCACAGATACCTGTCCTGCGGCCCAAATGGAACCCTATTCCCTATAAAGTATCACAGGAGGTTGGTGGCACCTTAACTCGTGGGAGGACGGGCTCGTGGTAATGGCTGGAGCGGAATCAGTGGAATGGTATCAAAACACATGGTTTCTATGGTTTCTATGTGTTTGATACCATGAACTCCGTTCCAGTCATTATTATGAGCCGTCCTCCCCTCAGCAGCCTCCACTGACCACTATATATGGAATAGGGTGTCATTTGGGACTCATCCCTTTAATGCCTCTTAAGTGAGTGATTCTTTGCTTTTGACTTGAGAGGTTATGTAACTTCAGTCTGCACACAGTTGCAATATTGAGTGTGATCATTGCCAAATGCTTTATTTGAAATTGGCCCGGTAAAGAATATTTCAGTCCACAGCTAATCACATTGTCCTGAGCAGACTTTTCTTTGGCCTTCATGTCTAAAATGGGTTAGAAATGTTGCAAAATATCCTGTTGAATCCAAAGAACTTCAGATACCACAGCTTTGGATGTGTACAACTTCAAGGGTTAGTTCAGTATTTTGCCAACGAAGCCCTTTATCTACTTCCCCAGAGTCAGATGAACTCATGGACACCATTGTTATGTCTCTGCGTTCTGTATGAAGGAAGTTAGAGGTAGTTTCGTGAGCCAAAGCTAACTAGTGTTAGCGCAATGACTGGAAGTGTATGGTCTCTACCAGCATGCTAGCAGTTACTCTGGAGTTAATCAATTTCATCCAACTTGGATCAAATACAAATCTTTCAAATTTTGGCGATGAGTCCATTTATCTACTTCCCCAGAGTCAGAAGAACTCGTGGATATCATTTTTATGTCTCTGTATGCAGTTTGAAGGAAGTTGCTAACTAGTGTTATTGCAACGATTGGAAGTCCATGCAACTCAGTATAACAGATTATTGTGAAATAAACACAAATTGCTTATTGGAAATTTGTGACAGGCACACGAAAAAGGAAATTTTTTGAATGTGCAGTACACGATTTTGTATACCGTGCATTTCAATCACAGATAAAGACAGTAGGTTATTTAGGAGGGGAGTTGGTAGGGAGGATGGATGGGTGTATAACACGAACGTCTAGCGACCCAAAGGTTACGTGTTCGAATCTCAACACCTACAACTTCATAATTTTAGCAACTTTGCAACTACTTTTTAGCTACTTGGCTAACCCTTTAACCTAAGGTTAACCCTTTAACTACTTAGCTAGCACGTTACCTTCCCTTAACCCTAGCCTAGCTAACGTTAGCCACAACAAATTGGAATTTGTGTAATTTACACAGTGTTAAAAAAATCGTTGTGAAAATGGTGTAACGTACACGAAAAGGTAGACAGTTTGCCTGTCACGAATTTCGAATAGGTGATTTGCGTACATTTCACAATATGCGGTGATAGTGTGTTGGAACAGAGAACGCCGTTAGCCTTAGCTTGCAAATCTACCTACAAACTTCCTTCACAATGGACATAGAAACATAAAAATGGTTTCCACAAGTTCATCTAATAAAGGGCGATCATTTTAATACTAGATCTAATGACTTTTATAGATCAGGGGTTTTATATCACAGGTCAAGCTTAAGAATGTGTAAAACTCTAACAAAACTTTAAGTGCTGAAGGAAAAGGTCAGTAATAAATTGACAAAATTCAAGTGAACTGGAGAACAGATTTATTGAACATTTAAGAGAAGTAGTTCAAAGCTCTGAAGTAACAGTAGAAAATGTCAGCTTGTTTCAAATGTAGCATAAAAACCACAATTAGAATCCGTCCTACAGTTATCTTCGATACATACAGTATGGACACAGGTTAGACCAAACAAAGCAGCACTGTACCTCACCTGTTTAAACTCCAACAACAATTATACTTTGACAGTATTTATTTGCCACATACAGGGAAATGTTCTGTACTTCACTTATCTTGTGCCATACACCTCCATAATACAGGTTTACCTTTTGAAAAAGAACATTACTGAAGGACTAAGACTCAAGCCCATTAACTGCTCCATTGTCAAAAATGTTGGGGAAAAACAGTGTTCTATTTAAACACTTAAACTCCCAAGATACAAAAGGCCTCAATAACAATAATTTACTTTTGTACATTACGACTTATTTTTCCTCTGTAATTATATTCAATTTTAAAACCTATAGTTATTTGCCTAAAATGATATGGAAGAGGCAAACATACAGCTACTGTTTGTCAGCTCTGAAACAAACAAAAAACGTTGTCGCAGTCCTTTCATTTTACACAGTGAAAATCCCTTTGATGCATTAAAAACAGAAAACATCTAGTATCACTGGGGGGGGGGGGGAACACCACACACAAAACAACCTCAACCCCCCCAAAGAAGTAGGAGAGCAGAGGTATTGGCGGTAATGAGAACGCTTAGGATATATGATAAAGAATTCTCAATGGGGCAGAACATACTGTTGTATGTGAGAAACTCTAATGGAGAGTATTCCCAGTACCCACAGTAGATTGGTCCCATGGGGTGGGGAGGTTAGAGTCCAAACTGTTATGCAAATACCATCAAAAACCTATCATTGCCCAAAACAACTGTTTAGCTAAAGGCTTGCGTTAGCTAGTACAGCAGATCTGTACAAAAATATAGAGCAATGCACATACAGTTGAAGTCGGAAGTTTACATACACTTAAGTTGGAGTCATTAAAACTCGTTTTCCAGCCACTCCACACATTTCTTGTTAACAAACTATAGTTTTGGCAAGTCGGTTAGGACATTATTTTGTGCATGACAAGTAATTTTTCCAACAATTATTTACAGACAGATTATTTCACTTATAACTCACTGTATCACAATTCCAGTGGGTCAGAAGTTTACATACACTAAGTTGACTGTGCCTATAAACAGCTTGGAAAATTCAAGAAAATGATGTCATGGCTTTAGAAGCTTCTGATAGGCTGATTGACATCATTTGAGTCAATTGGAGGTGTACCTGTGGATGTATTTCAAAGCCTACCTTCAAACGCAGTGCCTCTTTGCTTGACATCATGGGAAAATCAAAAGAAATCAGTCAAGACCTCAAAAATAATTGTAGACCTCCACAAGTCTGGTTCATCCTTGGGAGCAATTTCCCAACACCTGAAGGTACCACGTAAATCCGTACAAACAATAGTACGCAAGTATAAACACCATGGGACCACGCAGCCGTCATACCGCTCAGGAAGGAGACGCATTCTGTCTCCTAGAGATGAACGTACATTGGTGCGAAAAGTGCAAATCAATCCCAGAACAGCAGCAAAGGACCTTGTGAATATGCTGGAGGAAACAGGTACAAAAGTATCTATATCCAGAGTAAAACGCGTCCTATATCGACATAACCTGAAAGACCGCTCAGCTTGGAAGAAGCCACTGCTCCAAAACCGCCATAAAAAAGCCAGACTACGGTTTGCAACTGCACATGGGGACAAAGATCGTACTTTTTGGAGAAATGTCCTCTGGTCTGATGAAACAAAAATAGAACTGTTTGGCCATAATGACCATCGTTATGTTTGGAGGAAAAAGGGGGTGCTTGCAAGCCGAAGAACACCATCCCAACCGTGAAGCACGGGGGTGGCAGCATCATGCTGTGGGGGTGCTTTGCTGCAGGATGGACTGGTGCACTTCACAAAATAGATGGCATCATGAGGAAGGAAAATTATGAGGATATATTGAAGCAACATCTCATGACATCAGTCAGGAAGTTAAAGCTTGGTCGCAAATGGGTCTTCCAAATGGACAATGACCCCAAGCATACTTCCAAAGTTGTGGCAAAATGGCTTAAGGACAACAAAGTCAAGGTATTGGAGTGGCCATCACAAAGCCCTGACCTCAATCATATAGAACATTTGTGGGCAGAACTGAAAAGGCGTGTGCGAGCAAGGAGGCCTGCAAACCTGACTCAGTTACACCATCTCTGTCAGGAGGAATGGGACAAAATTCACCCAACTTATTGTGGGAAGCTTGTGGAAGGCTACCCAAAATGTTTGACCCAAGTTAAACAATTTAAAGGCAATGCTACCAAATACTAATTGAGTGTATGTAAACTTCTGACCCACTGGGAATGTGATGAAATAAATAAAAGCTGAAATAAATCATTCTCTCTACTATCATTTTGACATTTCACATTCTTACAATGAAGTGGTGATCCTAACTGACCTAAGACAGGGAATTATTACTAGGATTAAATGTCAGGAATTGTGAAAAACTGAGTTTAAATGTATTTGGCTAAGGTGTATGTAAACTTCCGACTTCAACTGTATATCACCATGTATGAATATAAACTTTAAGGCACAAATGCATTTGTCATTTCAATGTCTTAAGAGGGAAAATACTTTGTCCTTGAAGTTTTAAATCAACGTGGCTGCAATACCGTCACCATTGCAGAGGACCCAGAAGACGACTGAAAACCAGTCTCTTGTTCGCAAAACAAACAAGCAAATACAGACAAACAAAGACATTACTGGTAGTAATTCAACACCCAGAAACAAAGACAAATGACTGGTAGTAATTCAAATAAAATGTCAAATACAAAAGTATTGCTCTTAATTAAAGTTCAATTCAACATCGCTTTCACAACTTACTGAAAGTGGCACTGGCTCAACAATACAAAAACAACTATCATGTACATTCTGATGTGACTGTGTGCAGGGCCAGGCAGGTAACCAGGGTTCAGGTTCCTATAGCCTACACAGAGATGATCTCAGAGGATCAGATGACCTCTCACAAATGGACAGAAAGCTCTGGTGGTTGAGGATGGAGGAGGAGCAAGAGGAGGAAAAGGTCCTCTACTATTTATTTATTTATTTTTTGTCGCAAATGGTCTCTACTACAGTTTGGAGGAAGCGGAGGGATCTCCGGCGGCCTGGTTGTCGTCTTTCTGGTCCATCTCGGTGTGGTGCTCCTCCCTGTGCTCGGCCCCCTCCTCCCCAGTGTGGAACATGTCATGAGTCCACTTGTTGGGGCTGCTGCCGCCCTTGCGGTAGATGAAGCGACCCCTGCTGTGGGGGAAGGCTCCTCGGCCACAGCTCTCCAGCCATGTCTTCTCATCCTCACGGTCATCATGCTGTAAGGTGGATGGCCAGAGAGAGGTCAGTGAAAAGGACATACAGTACCAGTCAAAAGATTGGACACACCTACTCATTCCAGGGTTTTTATTTTTTACTCTTTTCTACATTGTAGAATAATAGTGAAGACATCAAAACTATGGAATAACAAATATGGAATCATGTAGTAACCAAAAAAGTGTTAAACAAATTAAAATGTATTGCCTTGATGACAGCTTTGCACACTCTTGGCATTCTCTCAACTAGCTTCATGAGGTAGTCACCTGGAATGCATTTCAATTAACAGGTGTGCCTTGTTAAAAGTTAATTTGTGGAATTTCTTTCCTTCTTAATGCGTTTGAGCCAATCAGTTGTGTTGTGACAAGGTAGGGGTGGTATACAGAAGATAGCCCTATTTGGTAAAAGACCAAGTCCATATTATGGCAAGAACAGCTCAAATAAGCAAACAGAAATGACAGTCCATCATTACTTTAAGACATGAAGGTCAGTCAATATGGAACATTTCAAGAACTTTGAAAGTTTCTTCAAGTGCAGTCGCAAAAACCATCAAGCGCTATGATGAAACTGGCTCTCATGAGGACCACCACAGGAACGGAAGACCCAGAGTTCCCTCTGCTGCAGAGGAGACTGTGTGAATCAGGCCTTCATGGTTGAATTCCAGCAAAGAAACCACTACTAAAGGACACCAATAAGAAGAAGAGACTTACTTGGTCCAACAAACACAAGCAATGGACATTAGACCGGTGGAAATCTGTCCTTTGGTTTGATGAGTCCAAATTCGAGATTTTTGGTTCCAACCGCCATGTCTTTGTGAGACGCAGAGCAGATGAACGGATTATCTCCGCATGTGTGGTTCCCACCGTGAAGCATGGAGGAGGAGGTGTGATGGTGTGGGGGTGTTTTGCTGGTGACACTGTCTGTGATTTATTTAGAATTCAAGGCACACTTAACCAGCATGGCTACCACAGCATTCAGCAGCGATACGCCATCCCATCTGGTATGCGCTTAGTGGGACTATCATTTGTTTTTCAACAGGACAATGACCCAACTCACCTCCAGGCTGTGTAAAGTCTATTTGACCAAGAAGGAGAGTGATGGAGTGCTGCATCAGATGACCTGGCCTCCAATCACCTGACCTCAACCCAATTGAGATGGTTTGGGATGAGTTGGACCACAGAGTGAAGGAAAAGCAGCCAACAAGTGCTCAGTATATGTGGGAACTCATTCAAGACTGTTGGAAAATCATTCCAGGTGAAACTGGTTGAGAGAATGCCAAGAGTGTGCAAAGCTGTCATCAAGGCAAAGGGTGGCTACTTTGAAGAATCTAAAATCTAAAATACACTTCTCAAAAAAATAAAGGGAACACTTTGTAACTTCAAGTCAATAAAGGAGTGGTTCTGCAGGTGGTGACCACAGACCACTTCTCAGTTCCTATGCTTCCTGGCTGATGTTTTGGTCACTTTTGAATGCTGGCGGTGCTTTCACTCTAGTGGTAGCATGAGACGGAGTCTACAACCCACACAAGTGGCTCAGGTAGTGCAGCTCATCCAGGATGGCACATCAATGCGAGCTGTGGCAAGAAGGTTTGCTGTGTCTGTCAGCGTAGTGTCCAGAGCATGGAGGCGCTACCAGGAGACAGGCCAGTACATCAGGAGACGTGGAGGAGGCCGTAGGAGGGCAACAACCCAGCAGCAGGACCGCTACCTCCGCCTTTGTGCAAGGAGGAGCAGGAGGAGCACTGCCAGAGCCCTGCAAAATGACCTTCAGCAGGCCACAAATGTGCATGTGTCTGCTCAAACAGTCAGAAACAGACTCCATGAGGGTGGTATGAGTGCCCGACATCCACAGGTGGGGGTTGTGCTTACAGCCCAACACCGTGCAGGACGTTTGGCATTTGCCAGAGAACACCAAGATTGGCAAATTTGCCACTGGCGCCCTGTGCTCTTCACAAATGAAAGCAGGTTCACACTGAGCACATGTGACAGACATGACAGAGTCTGGAGACGCCGTGGAGAACGTTCTGCTGCCTGCAACATCCTCCAGCATGACCGGTTTGGCGGTGGGTCAGTCATGGTGTGGGGTGGCATTTCTTTGGGGGGGCCGCACAGCCCTCCATGTGCTCGCCAGAGGTAGCCTGACTGCCATTAGGTACCGAGATGAGATCCTCAGACCCCTTGTGAGACCATATGCTGGTGCGGTTGGCCCTGGCTTCCTCCTAATGCAAGACAATGCTGGACCTCATGTGGCTGGAGTGTGTCAGCAGTTCCTGCAAGAGGAAGGCATTGATGCTATGGACTGGCCCGCCCGTTCCCCAGACCTGAATCCAATTGAGCACATCTGGGACATCATGTCTCGCTCCATCCACCAACGCCACGTTGCACCACAGACTGTCCAGGAGTCTGCGGATGCTTTAGTCCAGGTCTGGGAGGAGATCCCTCAGGAGACCATCCGCCATCTCATCAGGAGCATGCCCAGGCGTTATAAGGAGGTCATACAGGCACGTGGAGGCCACACACACTACTGAGCCTCATTTTGACTTGTTTTAAGGACATTACATCAAAGTTGGATCAGCCTGTAGTGTGGTTTTCCACTTTAATTTTGAGTGTGACTCCAAATCCAGACCTCCATGGGTTGATACATTTGATTTCCATTGATAATTTGTGTGTGATTTTGTTGTCAGCACATTCAACTATGTAAAGAAAAAAGTATTTAATAAGATTATTTCATTGATTCAGATCTAGGATGTGATATTTTAGTGTTCCCTTTATTTTTTTGAGCAGTGTATATTTGTATTTGTTTAACACTTTTTTGGTTACTACATGATTCCATATGTGTTCTTTCATAGTTTTGATGTCTTCACTATTATTCTACAATGTAGAAAATAGTAAAAAATAAAGAAAAACCCTGAGTAATGAGTAGGTGTGTCCAAACTTTTGACTGGTACTGTTTCCATGTTCTATTAAAATGTCACTAAGAGCGAAGATTATCAACTATCACAATACTGAAACACAATTAAGACCAGGTTTCCATATTCAAATCAAGATCATCTCTGGTCAAAAGTAGTGTACTATAAAGGCAAAAAGGTGCCATTTAGGACAAAGCAATAATTTCCAGTGCCTTCGGAAAGTATTCAGACCCCTTGACTTTTTCCACATTTTGTTACGTTACAGCCTTATACTAAAATGGATTAAATAAAACATTTCCCTCAGCAAATCTACACACAATACCCCATTAATGACAAAGCAACAAATGTTTGTTTTAAAAAATTTTTGTACGTTTTAAAAATAAACAGAAATACCTTATTTACATAAGTATTCAGACCCTTTGCTATGAGACTCGAAATTGAGCTCAGGTGCATCCTGTTTCCATTGATCATCCTTGAGATGTTTCTACAACTTGATTGGAGTCCACCTGTGGTAAATTCAATTGATTGGAGATGATTTGGAAAGGCACACACCTGTCTATATAAGGTCCCACAGTTGACAGTGCATGTCAGAGCAGAAGCCATGAGGTCGAAGGAATTGTCCGTAGCACACCGAGAAAGGATTGTGTCAAGGCACAGATCTGATGAAAGGTACCAAAAAATGTATTCAGTATTGAAGGTCCCCAAGAACATGGTGGCCTCAATCATTCTTAAATGGAAGAAGTTTGGAACCACCAAGACTCTTCCTAGAGCTGGCCGCCCGGCCAAACTGAGCAATCGGGGGAGAAGGGCCTTGGTCAGGGAGGTGACCAAGAACCCGATGATCACTCTGACAGAGCTCAAGAGTTCCTCTGAGATGGGAGACCCCTTCCAGAAGGACAACAATCTCTGCAGCACTCCACCAATCAGGCCTTGATGATAGAGTGGCCAGACGGAAGCCACTCCTCAGTAAAAGGCACATGACAGCCCACTTGGAGTTTGCCAAAAGGCACCTAAAGACCAGATTCTCTGGTCTGATGAAACCAAGATTGAACTTTTTGGCCTGAATGCCAAACGTCACATCTGAAGGAAACCTAGCACCATCCCTACGGTGAAGCATGGTGGTGGCAGCATCATACTGTGGGGATGTTTTTCAGCGGCAGGCAGGGACTGGGAGACTAGTCAGGATGAAGGCAAAGATGAACGGAGCAAAGTACAGAAAGATCCTTGATGAAAACCTGCGCACCTTCCAACAGGACAATGACCCTAAGCAGACAGCCAAGACAATGCAGGAGTGGCTTCGGGACAAGTCTCTGAATGTCCTTGAGGGGCCCAGCCAGAGCCCGGACTTGAAAGACCTGAAAATAGCTGTGCAGCGACGCTCCCCATCCAACCTGACAGAGCTTGGATCTGGATCTGGATCTGCAAAGAAGAAATGGGAGAAACTCCCCAAATACAGGTGTGCCAAGCTTGTAGCGTGATACCCAAGAAGACTCGAGGCTGTAATTTCTGCCAAAGGTGCTTCAACAAAGTACTGAGTAAAGGGTCTGAATACTTATGTAAATGTAATATTTCCAGGGGGTTTCTATATATACATTTGCAATTAAAAAAAAAAATGTATAACAGTTTTTGCTTAGTCATTATGGGGTATTGTGTCCATATGCTCCATCTCCTTGAAGAGAAAAAAACAACAATTTAATCCATTTTAGAATAAGGCTGTAACGTAACAAAATGTGGAAAAAGTCAAGAGGTCTGAATACTTTCTGAATGCACTGTATGTGCTAAAAGAGCAGATGGTGAAACTCACAAAGTAGTATTTCCTACTCTTGGGGGTGTACTCTGGGTCCCACTCCTCATCTGGGGGGCGCTCTGGGGGGGCGGTGTTCATATTAGGAGGAGGAGGGTTGCCATTGCTGCTGTTTCCTTGGTAATTGCCCCTGTTCCAGCCCCTTCCTCCTCTGACTCTGGGGAGCTGAAACCACAACAACAACAATAAACTGGGTCAGAATGGGGATGTAGAGTGAAGTTGCCCCTAGATGCTGATCCTGGGTCAGTTTTGCATTTCCCCACTAACAGTTAAGGTTAGGATTGGGGGAGGGGAAGCTGATCCTAGAGATAAAGATCAAAGACATCGGAGAGAGAGAGGGAGGGAAAGAGAGGGTATGAGAGAGAGGGAAAGAGAGGGTATGGGAGAGAGAAAAAGAGAGGGAGGGAAAGAGTGAGGGATAGAGAGAAGGATAGAGAGAGCGAGAGACCAGGAGGGAAAAAGAGAGAAGGAGAGAGAGGGAACGAGAGAACACTAGGGGCTCTCAGTTGGCTGTGGAGAGAAGAGGATTCAGGCCTATTGTGGTAGTGTTCTGTTTCTGAATGTCACGGATGTATATTACAAGACAATCAATCACATCATTCCAGTTGTGCCAGTCTAGTTTATAAAGTTACGTTAGGCTACGCCACACAGAGAACAGAACTTACAAATCCTCCACCACTTCCACGTCCTCGGCCCCTATCCACGTGGCCCTCATAATCCCGGGGGGGACCCCTATCGATGTGGCCCTCATAATCCCGGGGGGGACCCCTATCGATGTGGCCCTCATAATCCCGGGGGGGACCCCTATCTATGGGGCCTCCGTAGTCCCGGGGCCCGATGCGAGGCTTACTATAGCCTTGGTCCGTATGCTCCATCGTGTGGTCTTTACCTCTGAACCCTCTGAAAGGAGAGGGAGAGGAGGAAGAGGAGGAGGAGGAGGACGGAGAGCGATCACGATTCTTCTTGGTTTTTCTGGGAGTGAGAGGGGTAAAAGAGCAATCAGTCTCCGTTTTGACTGCCTCTATAGTTGGACTGCAAAACAGGAAATAATCAAGGGTGAAAATGTCATACATATAGTTTGTATCACTCAATTTTAAATGAAAGATACAATTTAGGGATGAAACATTGTCTTCAGGCAGACGGTTTCATTCTAACGCTACCGGCTCATTGTGCTGTCTGACGTACGACAAATGGGAAACGACTATGGGGAGGTGATTTCACATTAAGATATAATAAGCCTACTTTGATTTCTTGCGGTGTTTGGAAGATTTCTCTGATGACCTCTCTTGGCTGGGTCCCTGGGAGCCTCCGGAGCCCTTGCCCCCGTCCCATTGGTGCAGCCCAGGCTCCTTCCCAGAAAACCTTTTACGGCGCTCTATATCCAGACGCAGGTCCATTGGGTCACCTTTAGCCGTTCTACCCTGATCCTGTAGAGATATAGGAAGTGCTGTCTATGTTAGTGGGCGCTTTCGCTTTGGATACCACAACTTCTAACTTACCATCCTACCACTTTACAAATTGACAAAATATAATGAAGTAATGAGGTCTTTTCAATACATAAGAAATACAAAAAAAAAGTTTTAAAAAGTCAGTAAAAGCCAGAACTTGTTAAACAGTTTTAGATCTGCTGGTGATGACACACAATGCATCCCTCCGGAGATCTAAGGACGACTTGATGCTTACAGCTTTTCTTTCAAATAACTTGTGTTCTATATCAAAGTATTTTGTACGTATGTTCTGAAGTAAACAAATCAAATCTCACGTATGTTAATGTAGACTAAATTAATCTTCTATTCAATTAGTAATTTGGCCAAGTGACAAACACACATTTACAGACAGACATCTACACACTCATAGTAAACAGCAGCTTTTAACATGGATTTTCAAAACAAAATCATTTGTACTGAACTTGAATACATTTTGCTTGTTTGTTTAAAAGAAAAATACTTACAATGGCATTGCTTAGGGTCCCTTGAGAGGCTCGGACACAGCATCTTAAGTCACTTCCTGTTAGCCTTTGCTTGGGTACGTACGTACGTACGTACGTACATAACAGCTCAATAACCATATGATCTCTTAGGCTGGGGGGCTCGCTTGGCATTACAATACACAATTGGGCTCTTTTGATTTAGATTTATGCATCTCCTTTAAAAGAAAAGCACAAGCTCAACACTGTTGCTTTGGACCGTCTCAATTCCCTTCAATGTTTTTACTTCAAATGCCAAAAAGGCTGTTCACCTTGTAGCTGCAGTCCTCCAGCTCTTCCAGCAGGTGAGAGTGTCTCTTAAACGCACTGGGGGAGACATCGATTCTCCTGGAGGGGGGGGACGCAAAACAAAGGACAGTTGGATACAGCTACACTGAAGCGTGTACTTATCGCACAACGGTCTCAAAAGAAAATGTTAAATATTTCTCAAATACCATAAATATGAACGGTAACGTCAACACACAACTTTATAATGCATAGCCACATGGAATGCTTGATTCGTGTTACATAAATCTTATGTCAGTCAAAAAGGCAGACCTATAGGTAACTTCCAAAATAAAGGAAACACCAACATAAAAAGTGTCAATAGAGCGTTGGGTCACCACGAGCTTCCAGAACAGCGTTGGGTCACCACGAGCTTCCAGAACAGCTTCAATGCACCTTGGAATAGATTCCACAAGTGTCTGGAACTCTATTGGGAGGGATTCCAAGATTCTTCCAAGATAAATTCCATCATTTGGTGTTTTGGTGATGGTAGTGGCAAACACCGTTTCAGGCGCCGCTCCAGAATCTCCCATAAGTGTTCAATTGGGTTGAGATCTGGTGACTGAGACAGCTATGGCATATTCTTCAAATAATTTACATGCTCATGAAAACATTCAGTGACCACTCGTGCCCTGTGGATGGGGGCATTGTCATCCTATGAAGGCATAGCCATTAATAAAATGGGCAAATAATGGCCTGCCCAGCATTTTTATACATGACCCTAAGCATGATGGGATGTTAATTGCTTAATTAACTCAGGAGCCACACCTGTGTGGAAGCACCTGCTTTCAATATACTTTTGCATCCCTCATTTACTCAAGCGTTTCCTTTCTTCTGGCAGTTATCTGTATTTTCCACAATGTTGGTTGAGAATGACTTACCTGTGGATTTCTGGACTCTTCCTTTGTTTAATCAATTCCATCTCAGCGGCTTTTCTTTGGTACATGGCAAATCGCTCACTTAAAGTCATGCCTGAAGATTGGAAGTGTTGTGCTGGAGGACAGATACAATATTTATATACAGCCCGTCTTAATGGACACCTCTAATACAGACAATATTTACATATAGTGCCTTCAGAAAGTATTCATACCCATTGACTTAGTCCACATTTTGTTGTGTTGCAGCCTGAATTCTAAATTGATTAAAATAGAGGTTCTCTCTCTCACCCATCTAAAAACACAACACCTCATAATGACAGTGAAAACATGTTCAGACATTTTTGCAAATTTGTTGAAAATGAAATACATACATCTCATTTACATAAGTATTCAAACCCCTTTGCAATGACACTCCAAATTGAGCTCAGGTGTATCCCGATTTTCTTTGATCATCCTTGAGACGTCGCTTCAACTTGATTGGAGTCCACCTGCAGCTAGTTCAATTGTTTGGACGTGATTTAGAAAGAAACATCCATCCATCCATCTATAATAGCCCCCACAGTTGACACGTCGGAGCTGAAACGACACCATGAAGTCCAAGGAACTGTCCGTAGACCTACGAGATAGACTAGAAAAACTATTTCTGGAGTGTTGAACGTTTCCAAGAGCACAGTGGTCTCCATCATTGGGGAAACTGAACAAAAAAATATATGGAACTGCCCAGACTGCCCAACCTAACTGAGCAACCGGGCAAGAAGGACCTTGGTCAGGGAGGTGACCAACAACCCAATGACAGAACTAAGGTGCTTCTACAAAGTATTGACTCAGGGGTATGAATACTTATGCAAATGAGATATTTTATGTATTTAAAATGTTAAATACATTTGCTAACATTTCTAAAAACACGTCTTCAACTTTGTCATTATGGACATCCCAAAACCATTTTTAAGCAATGAGGCTAACGCAACAGATCAGAACGTTCAGCTTTAAAATGTTGATAAATTATTAGGCTATTTTTTCACATTGTAAGCGCAGCAATGCGCACACGGCAGTAGGCTATAAGCGCGAATGTTCCAAAATGCAATCAATTAGCGGGAAAACCCCATTCTCAAAAGTGACCGCAAATGCGATGATGCATGTAATGCTTTTATTATAAAGGTTAATTTTTCTGGTGAAAATTATCTTCCCCAAACTTGAAACTCACGCGCCGCCTATGTATGCCAGTTAGGCTCTACACCGGTTGTAAAGCGGATTAATGTGCTTCATTTTAAGAAGTTATTTGGACACTTTAGTTGTGATACAAACCTTATCAAAACATATAGGCCTATGGGCTAGGCTACATGAGGTGTGCGACTATGATTTGAAAGTATGTGCCCTTGAGCAAGGCACTTAACCCTAATTGCTCCTGTAAATCGCTCTGGATAAGAGCGTCTGCTAAATGACTAAAATGTAAAATGTAAATGTAAAGTCGCAAAAAAAGGCATGCGCTGTTTCTTGCCTTAGAGCACACACTGGGCATCATTCACACGAGATAATACATCATTCACAAGTGATAATACATCATTCACAAGTGATAATATATCATTCACAAGTGATAGGCTAGTAGTCACCCATCAGACTGTTCTTGATATAATCTTGTCTTTACATACAGTATACTAAAATATAATATAATATGCCATTTAGCAGACGCTTTTATCCAAAGCGACTTAGTCATGCATGCATACATTTTTGTGTATGGGTGGTCCCGGGGATCGAACCCACTACCTTGGCGTTAATATATGTGTGAAATCAGTTTTTATTTAGAATGGACCATTATCATGCACCTGTCTCGAAAAACAGGGGCAGGGGGAAAAAAATACATGTCATCTAAGCGCTTTAATAGCGAATGGAGGGTGCTTTTCCCATGGTTCATTTTCATGCCAGCCAGGTAGGCTATACTACTGTAAAGATAGGCCATGTGCTGAATATTAGGAAAGCTGAGAAATAAATATAGTAGGCCTAGCCTATAGAAAGCTGATGGGATCCTCCTCTTTTTAATAGAGGCCATCAACTGTTTTCTCACGCAATTGCATAATCTATACAAATGTTGTGCAACATGAGCTCATGGGCTCTCATGAAGTGTTTGATTTGATTTTATAACACTTGCATTGACGTCAGAGTGATTAGAGGGACAGCAGAGAGCTGAGTACCAGGCAGTTAGCAAGTTTGGTAGGCTACTAATGACCACCAGCAGCATCAGAGCTTGGAGAAGCCTAATTACCATGACTAAACGGTCATGTGGAATTTGACTGCCGTCATGACTCGTGACCGCCGGCGTGGCGGTAATACGGTCACCGTAACAGCCCTTACCTTTGATGTAGTGCACAATGGTGACAATATGCTGCGCAAACAGCTCGGAGGGGCTGCGTCGGAGCTGAGCAGCCTCTATGTGTTGGAAGATGGAGCGGAACTGTCCGTGATCTTTCTTAGTGGGATGCGCCAGATCCCTGGACATGCCACGCTCCTTGGTCAGACCTCCGGAGGAGCTGAGAAGAGGAAGACAAGCTGATACAAAACTGTTGTGTTCAAGACCGTGACCTAGTTCCATAAAAATTTTAACCCCTCAAGCATATCCAAAACTCAACGCAGTGTTCAGAATTAGGACCGTTTCAGAAACTATTAACCCTCCAAGAGATCTGCTGATGGACACCATTGGTGATGGTTACCTGGGCATTTCATCAGAGGTGTTGATACTGAGCTCCAGGCCATCCCTCTTCCCAGAGGGCCTGGGTAGGGGTGACTCCAACCTAGTGACGGGGAACAGGGCCAGGGGCCTGTCCTTCTCCCCGCTGCCTGAAACCCCAGGGGGCACTGCTGCGGTGACGGGAGATGGAAACTGCTTACTTCTCTTTTCCTTCTTCTTCTTCTTCTCTTCTTTCTTGGAGGTCTGCTTGCGGCTGCGGTAGAGCTCCTCCTCCATGAGCTCCAGGTCTTCCTCCGCGTCGTCGGCCGTGTCTCTCAGTCTCTCCTCGTCCTTCCCCGGGGGGTAGTAATGGGGCTGGTCTTCCCACTTCCCAAACACGTCCCGTGTCGTCAGGGTGGCTCCTTCGGGCTTGGCCTCCTCCTCCCGCTCTCTCTCAGCAGCCTGAGACTTGAGGAATGCCTCTTCGGCTCGGTCTAGGAAGGGCAGGGACTTATCGGCCTTGGCGCTGAAGGAGGCGGATGTTATGTTGAAGAGGTTGTTCCCTTTCTCTCTGCTGTCTCCGTCCTGGCCATTCGCCCACTCTGCCGCCTGCTGCTGCTTTTTGCTCTTGTTTTCTGCCAAGAACCTGGCCAATCAGACAGAGAAGCAAATGGACATTTACATTTACGTCATTTAGAAGATGCTCTTATCCAGAGCGACTTACAAATTGGTGCATTCACCTTATAGCCAGTGGGATAACCACTTTACAATATGTTATTTTAAAAAAAAATTTGGGGTGGGGTAAGGGGGGGTAGAAGGATTACTTTATCCTATCCCAGGTATTCCTTAAAGAGGTGGGGTTTCAAGTGTCTCCGGAAGGTGGTGAGTGACTCCGCTGTCCTGGCGTCGTGAGGGAGCTTTTACAATGTGTTATACAAAGGAGAATGTTGATTCAAATCTATTACCGTTACAGAATCCATTTTCTAACAGGGCGCTGATATTAAAATGAAAGACATTTAATCACGTGGTAGAATGTTAGATGATCTAGTGAAACAGAAGAAAGACTACACAACCATAGAAGACTGACAATATCAGAGACAGACACTGAACACTTAGAATAGACTGACCAGGACACCTATTGTAATAATTATACTTCCTTAACCATCACCTCTTAAAATTAGGGAGATTTCATACAACCTTAATTTCATACAACACCCAGCAGCATAGCACCCTGCATCCCACTGCTGGCTTGCCTCTGAAGCTAAGCAGGGCGGGTCCTGGTCGGTCCCTGGATGGGAGACCAGATGCTGCTGGAAGTAGGAGGCACTCTTTCCTCTGCCCCCCCCCCCCCCCAAAAAAAAAGATTCCAATGCTTCCCCAGGGCAGTGATTGGGTACCGTCTTTCAGATGGAACGTTAAAACGGGTGTCCTGACTCTCTGTGGTCACTAAAGATCCCATGCCACTTATTGTAAGAGTGTTAACCCCCGTGTCCTGGCTAAATTCCCAATCTGGCCCTCATGCCACTTTAACATGTACGTATTACCTCAACTAACCTGTGCCCCCGCACATTGACTCTGTGCACATAGCCTCCCTACTGTTATTTTACTGCTGCTCTTTCATTATTATTATTTTTATTAAAACTGCATTGTTGGTTAAGGGCTTGTCGTAAGCATTTCACTGTAAGGTCTACACGTGTTGTATTCGGCACATGTGGCAAATACAATTTGATACCATCATGGCCACCTAATCATCCCCAGTTTCCAATTGACTCATTCATCCCCGATCCTCTACCCTGTAACTATTCCCCAGGTCGATGCTGTAAATGAGAATGTGTTCTCAGTCAACTAACCTGGTAAAATAAGGGTTGAATTAAAAAAATGCAGAGGACAACAGCCAGTGACTTTTCCAATTTTGTTATATGCATTTTAAATTGAGAAGAGTGCCAATGGCATCCATTTTGTAAATATATTCTACCAAGGATCTTTGTAGCTGTGCACAGACTGAACAAGCTTAAAGTAATTACAATCACATACTGGGAAGAAATATAAAAAACACGATGAAAGAAGGGGAACATACTTTTTGAAAGCAGAGGAAATAGCAGTGTTATCTGCCCTGGTGGGATCCTCCTTGCCAAAGAAGCCAAACCCGCTGGCGGAGGTGGTCGGCCCGGCCTTGGTGGGGCCTGGCGGGCTCTTGGTAGAGGTAACACTGCCAGTGCTGCCCATGGTTCTACACAACGACCCTTTGGGGTCCGACTTCCCCTGTTTGGCACCAACAGCCGGACTGCTGCGTTTGGGGCTGGTGTTATAGTCACTCAGACCCTGCCATTTCCCAGCAGAGGCCTTATCATGGCTGCTGCCCTCTGCCCCTGGTCCTCCTGCCTGCTCCCCAACCTCCCCCCTCTCCTCCTTGGCCTCTGCTGGCATAGTCCTGGCCTGTACGTCTTTAGAGCCAGGCTTCCCGGAGCTGGGGCTGCTGCGACGACGCCGCGGGGACGAGGAGCGGGAAGAGGAGCTGTGGCGCCGCCGGGACTGTCGGGAACCCCTGGAGGATGAACGGTCGGAGTATCGAGACCGGGAGTGGTTGCGGCTGTCGGAGCGTTTCCGGGGTGTGCGGGACCGAGACCTCCCTCTCCTGGGGCTGTGAGGACCGTGGTGGTCCTGGTCGTGGGGAGGCTCATCCCGGTAGCCACCCCCCTGCCAGTTGTTGGCTCTGTAGCCGTAGCTGTTCCCACCTCTCTGGTAACCATGGCGAGGGTAGAAGCCCCGGGTTCTACCGCGGAAGTAAAAGGGTCTGCGGAAGCCACGGTTGTAGCCCCTCTGGTAACCCCGGTTGTTCTGGTAGTCTCTGGTGGGATAGTTCCTGCCGTGGGACGGAGAGTGAGATCTGGAGCGGGAACGCGACCTAGAACTAGGAGAGAGAAGTATGTTGAAGATACTGTGTAACAAGTCCAATGTTGGTACACTTTTCAGAAGGTCGCCTAAACATTATGAAAACAGTAAACATATGTACATCTTGAGAAAATCCAGTCTGGTTTAGTTGGATTGAGTAGGAGAATACACTCAGAGAGTAAAAGAAGATATGTTTTTGTTCCGCCAGCCTGCACCTCGCCAACTCAGGTGTGCCTTTTTCATTACCCAGACAATTCACTCAGACAGAACCCTAATTCACTCAGACAGAACCCTAATTCACTCAGAGAGAAAAGACTGTCAGGCTAAATAACAAACCGATGTGTACGTTAACTGGCAGTGGTCCCAGCGGATGGGACTCAAGGACTGCATTAGAGTATTCTGTCCACTTGGAGGAGCTCCTAAACCACACACTAGCGCCTATTAAAACCCAACCAGGATCCTCCTCCTGCCCTTGTTCTCTGAAGACACTCAACATTCAAACAACTTCACTTCAAGGTGCCCTTTGAGTAACATGATGGACAGAGCAGGAGAAATCCCCAATCTAGCATTATATGGAATAAAACATGTTTATCCTGCTTACCCTCGGTCATTCTCAACCAACAAATGAAGACGTAGCCAGTGTATTTGGTTAAAATGCTGGGGACTTTAGGTTTTAGACATGAAGACTATTACCTGTTACACACAGAGATTATTCTAACATCATCTGTCCCTAAATCCATGGAAATAATGTACAAATAAATGTGTAGCAGAAACACCCATAGCGTTGTACTACTATTGCTGCTACTAACAGTGAAAGTACCGTCCTTACACACTACTCCTACAAATCCAGGAAAACGCAAAGTAGCAGGCACATTTTAGAAGGACAATTGCAAATTGGGGACTTACAATAAAACCCAAAAACGACAACACAGGCAGCAAGCAAACAGGATATTGGTTTCTACCCATGTACCGCAGTGGGGGAAAACTTCCAAAACAGCCAAATCCATCAAGCAAACCTCTAATAAAAAAATCCCCCATAACTTACCGCTTGCCCTTTTTCATTGGAATAGTCTGGAGGTGGTGTTCCGAGCTGTGCTCTACATAGCATACTCACAGTGAGGGGACTCCCTTTGTCTGGAGAGTGTGTGTGTGTGTGTGTGTGTGGAAGGACTGGAGCAGTGGGAAGAGGCGATACGCATTGGGCCAAAATGGGAAAGCATTTTTACATTTTAATCCTTGTAGGAGGGGGGAGTGGGAAGAGGGGGTTTGGCCTGGCTAGGGCTCCCCTCCTTTTCTTCTGACAAGCTCTTCCAGCCATTACTTTCCTTTTGGGCAAGTCATTGATTATGTATGTCACTTGTCTTACGCATTGCTGACCATTTCACTGAAAGAAAGAGAGGTCCCGAGCGTCCTGTTTTCAAGCATCTGTACGTCAGAGGGGAATCAAACTTTAACAATAGCCTACTTAATATCAATATTAAATAAAATAAAAACTTAACTCAGTCATATAAATATAACTAAGCTGAGATGTAACTAACACTTTGCCCATAATTCCTCATGAAAGTCATTACAGACGAACGCAGAGCACAAAGTGCTGAATGCTGTCTGACAACCCTTCTCTCCAGGGGAAAGAACTCAAATTAAAATGATTTAAGTATTCCTTTGGAACAAAAGGATGATTCAATAATTAATAAAACTGATGGGTCGATGACTGCATGTTATGTACAGTTGATGTCGGATGTTTTTGATCCCCTGCTGATTTTGTACGTTTGCCCACTGACAAAGACATGATCAGTCTATAATTTTAATGGTAGGTTTGAACAGTGAGAGACAGAATAACAACAAAACAAATCCAGAAAAACGCATGTCAAAAATGTTATAAATTGATTTGCATTTTAATGAGGTAAATAAGTATTTGACCCCCTCTCAATCAGAAAGATTTCTGGCTCCCAGGTGTCTTTTATACAGGTAACGAGCTGAGATTAGAGGCACACTCTTAAAGGGAGTGCTCCTAATCTCAGCTTGTTACCTGTATAAAAGACACCTGTCCACAGAAGCAATCAGATTCCAAACTCTCCACCATGGCCAAGACCAAAGAGCTCTCCAAGGATGTCAGGGACAAGATTGTAGACCTACACAAGGCTGGAATGGGCTACAAGACCATCACCAAGCAGCTTGGTGAGAAGGTGACAACAGTTGAAGCGATTATTCGCAAATGGAAGAAACAAAAGAACTGTCAATCTCCCTCGGCCTGGGGCACCATGCAAGATCTCACCTCGTGGAGTTGCAATGATCATGAGAACGGTGAGGAATCAGACCAGATCTTGTCAATGATCTCAAGGCAGCTGGGACCATAGTCACCAAGAAAACAATTGGTAACACACTACGCCGTGAAGGACTGAAATCCTGCAGCGCCCGCAAGGTCCCCCCTGCTCAAGAAAGCACATATACAGGCCCGTCTGAAGTTTGCCAATGAACATCTGAATGATTCAGAGGAGAACTGGGTGAAAGTGTTGTGGTCAGATGAGACCAAAATCGAGCTCTTTGGCATCAACTCAACTCGCCGTGTTTGGAGGAGGAATGCTGCCTATGACCCCAAGAACACCATCCCCCACCGTCAAACATGGAGGTGGAAACATTATGCTTTGGGGGTGTTTTTCTGCTAAGGGGACAGGACAATTTCACCGCATCAAAGGGACGATGGACGGGGCCATGTACCGTCAAATCTTGGGTGAGAACCTCCTTCCCTCAGCCAGGGCATTGAAAATGGGTCGTGGATGGGTATTCCAGCATGACAATGACCCAAAACACACGGCCAAGGCAACAAAGGAGTGGCTCAAGAAGAAGCACATTAAGGTCCTGGAGTGGCCTAGCCAGTCTCCAGACCTTAATCCCATAGAAAATCTGTGGAGGGAGCTGAAGGTTCGAGTTGCCAAACGTCAGCCTCGAAACCTTAATGCAAAGAGGAGTGGGACAAAATCCCTCCTGAGATGTGTGCAAACCTGGTGGCCAACTACAAGAAACGTCTGACCTCTGTGATTGCCAACAAGGGTTTTGCCACCAAGTACTAGGTCATGTTTTGCAGAGGGGTCAAATACTTATTTCCCTCATTAAAAAGCAAATCAATTTATAATATTTTTGACATGCATTTTTCTCGATTTTGTTGTTGTTATTCTGTCTCTCACTGTTCAAATAAACCTACCATTAAAATTATAGACTGATCATGTCTTTGTCAGTGGGCAAACGTACAAAATCAGCAGGGGATCAAATACATACATACATACAGTGAGGGGAAGAAAGTATGTATGTATGTATATATATCACACACTACCATTCAAAAGTTTGGGGTCACTTAGAACTTATTGTTTTCGAAAGAAAAGCAAACAAAATTGTCCATTAAAATAACAGCAAATTGATCAGAAATACAGTGTAGACATTGTTAATGTTGTAAATGGCTATTGTAGCTGGAAACGGCTGATTTTTTAATAGAATATCTACATAGGCGTACAGAGGCCCATTATCAGCAACCATCAGTCCTGTGTTCCAATGGCACATTGTGTCTGCTAATCCAAGTTTATCATTTAAAAAAGGCTAATTGAGCATTAGAAAACCCTTTTGCAATTATGTTAGCACAGCTGAAAACTGTTGTGCTGATTAAAGAAGCAATAAAAACTGGCCTTCCTGAGACTAGTTGAGTATCTGGAGCATCAGCAATTGTGGGTTCGATTACAGGATCAAAATGGCCAGAAACAAATAGCTTTCTTCTGAAACTCGTCAGTCTATTCTTGTTCTGAGAAATTAAGGCTATTCCATGCGAGAAATTGCCAAGAAACTGAAGATCTCGTACAACGCTGTGTACTACTCCCTTCACAGAACAGCGCAAACTGGCTCTAACCAGAATAGAAAGAGGAGTGGGAGGCCCCGGTGCACAACTGAGCAAGAGGACAAATACATTCGTGTCTAGTTTGAGAAACAGACGCCTCACAGGTCCTCAACTAGCAGCTTCATTAAATAGTACCCTGCAAAACACCAGTCTCAACTTCAACAGTGAAGAGGCGACTCCGGGATGCTGACCTAGGCAGAGTTGCAAATAGCCACTTAAGCTTTCCACTAGATCACACAGCCACAAAGTCAGAACAGCTTTCCCAGTTTGACAACAGATGCCGCTCAGGCGGGAGAAATCAATAGGCGAATATCACAGCCAAATCACATCACTGGTGGGTAATTAATACTGTGAAACTAATCATTGCACTATTAGAACCAGATATATTATGGACATTCTGAAATTACAATGCAAAAATAATCCTACGTGTAGCAACATTAAAACAAGTCTCAATAACAGGCACATTCCCATGGTAGGCATTTATGGGAAGTACATGTCCTAGTAATCAATGGAAAGCTAGGCTTGCTGACAAGGCTCCATATAGTAGAGGAAGGAAGTAGTAATAAAGTTCACCTGTATCGGTGCTTCCTGGATCTGGAGCGGGAGCGGCTTCTGGAGCGAGACCGCGTGCAAGACCTAGATCTGGACCGGGACTTTGATCTGGAGCGGGTCCTTGCGGGGCAATCTGGCGCTTTGGACATCTCTACTGTCAGGCCTGTCTAGAAGTTCACCTGCCCAACAACAAGAGGGATTAGTGATGTTGGTATGTACTGGCAATACACTTGGGGTGTTTCATAAAACTAACAGTTGCCAACCTGCTTGTTGACCAAACTAAGTAGAACAAGAGACCATATTAGCAAAGATTTTTTATAACTAAACCAAGCAATTTTTTGAAACTTTTGCATAGGATAAAGTCTACAAAACGCAGTCAACTCTGTTTCAGATTCTAGTGTTGCAAACAGAGAACTGTATGGAGATCAAATGTTTCATCGATGAGAAAATTAGCAGAATGTCAGCCAAAATCCACCTCCCTCCATATTTGGTATGTGTGGATACACCAACCGGATGCTTCACATTTATACATCCGGTGAAATATCTAACTCTGTGATAAGGCTCTGACGTAGAACCAGGATATGTATACTGAACAAAAATATAAACTCAACATGCAACAATTTAAACTATTTTACTGAGTTAAAGTTCATAGAAGGAAATCAGTCAATGGAAATAAATTCATTAGGCCCTAATCTATGGATTTCACATGACTGGGCAGGGGGGCAGCCATGGGTGGGCATAGGCCCACCCACTTGGGAGCCAGGCCCAGCCAATCAGATTGAGTTTTTCCGCACAAAAGGGCTTTATTACGGACAGAAATACTCAACACCCCCCCCCCCCTCCCCCTCAGACATTCCCACAGGTGAAGAAGCCGGATGTGGAGGTCCTGGGCTGGCGTGGTTACTAGTGGTCTGCGATTGTGAGGGCGGTTGGACGTACCTCCAAATTCTCTAAAAACGGTGTTGGAGGCGGCTTATGGCAGAGAAATTAACATTTAATTATCTGGCAACAGCTCGTGGACATTACTGCAGTCAGCATGCCAATTGCATGCTCCCTCAAAACTTGAGACATCTGTGGCATTGTGTTGTGTGACAAAATTGCACATTTTAGAGTGGCCTTTTATTGTCCACAGCACAAGGTGCACCTGTGTAATGATCATGCTGTTTAATCAACTTCTTGACATGCCACACCTGTCAGGTGGATGGATTGTCTTGGCAAAGGAGAAATGTTCACTAACAGGGATGGAAACAAACTTGTGCACATAATAATTTGAGAGAAATAAGCTTTTTGTGCATATGGAACATTTCTGGGAACTTTTATTTCTGCTAATGGAAAACGCCACCAACACTTTATATATTGCGTTTATATTTTTCTTCAGTATAGATGTAGGACCATTACATTTAGTTAAGGAGGAAATCAAAGCTTTTGCAGCCTGAATGGAGAATGTTTTATGTACAAACCGGTCGCCAGGGGACACGAGTGTACTACTGGCTGTGCACATCAAGCCTAGATGAATTATTTTGCACATAACTTGCTACATTTGCACACACTGTATATACAGTGGGGAAAAAAAGTATTTAGTCAGCCACCAATTGTGCAAGTTCTCCCACTTAAAAAGATGAGAGAGGCCTGTAATTTTCATCATAGGTACACGTCAACTATGACAGACAAATTGAGAAAAAAAAATCCAGAAAATCACATTGTAGGATTTTTTATGAATTTATTTGCAAATTATGGTGGAAAATAAGTATTTGGTCAATAACAAAAGTTTCTCAATACTTTGTTATATACCCTTTGTTGGCAATGACACAAGTCAAAACGTTTTCTGTAAGTCTTCACAAGGTTTTCACACACTGTTGCTGGTATTTTGGCCCATTCCTCCATGCAGATCTCCTCTAGAGCAGTGATGTTTTGGGGCTGTCACTGGGCAACACAGACTTCCAACTCCCTCCAAAGATTTTCTATGGGGTTGAGATCTGGAGACTGGCTAGGCCACTCCAGGACCTTGAAATGCTTCTTACGAAGCCACTCCTTTGTTGCCCGGGCGGTGTGTTTGGGATCATTGTCATGCTGAAAGACCCAGCCACGTTTCATCTTCAATGCCCTTGCTGATGGAAGGAGGTTTTCACTCAAAATCTCACGATACATGGCCCCAATCATTCTTTCCTTTACACGGATCAGTCGTCCTGGTCCCTTTGCAGAAAAACAGACCCAAAGCATGATGTTTCCACCCCCATGCTTCACAGTAGGTATGGTGTTCTTTGGATGCAACTCAGCATTCTTTGTCCTCCAAACACGACGAGTTTAGTTTTTACCAAAAAGTTATATTTTGGTTTCATCTGACCATATGACATTCTCCCAATCCTCTTCTGGATCATCCAAATGCACTCTAGCAAACTTCAGACGGGCCTGGACATGTACTGGCTTAAGCAGGGGGACACGACTGCCACTGCAGGATTTGAGTCCCTGGCGGCGTAGTGTGTTACTGATGGTAGGCTTTGTTACTTTGGTCCCAGCTCTCTGCAGGTCATTCACTAGGTCCCCCCGTGTGGTTCTGGGATTTTTGCTCACCGTTCTTGTGATCATTTTGACCCCACGGGGTGAGATCTTGCGTGGAGCCCCAGATAGAGGGAGATTATCAGTGGTCTTGTATGTCTTCCATTTCCTAATAATTGCTCCCACAGTTGACTTCTTCAAACCAAGCTGCTTACCTATTGCAGATTCAGTCTTCCCAGCCTGGTGCAGGTCTACAATTTTGTTTCTGGTGTCCTTTGACATCTCTTTGTCTTGCATAGAGTTGGTCCGTATGAGGTCGTAGCTTTTGAATTTTAAACTAAACCAAAAAGGAATTTTTGAACTTTTGCAAAGGAAAAGCTACAAAACGCAGTCAACTCGTTTTCAGATTCTAGTTTGCAAACAGAGAACTGTATGGAGATCAAATGTTCATCGATGAGAAAATTAGCAGAATGTCGGCCAAAATCCACCTCCCTCCATATTTGGTATGTGTGGGAAACACCAACCGGATGCTTCACATTTATACATCCGGTGAATATCTGACTCTGTGTAAGGCTCTGACGTAGAACCAGGATACATATACTGAACAAAAATATAAACTCAACATGCAACAATTTAAACTATTTTACTGAGTTACAGTTCATAGAAGGAAATCAGTCAATTGAAATAATTCATTAGGCCCTAATCTATGGATTTCACATGACTGGGCAGGGATAGGCCACCCACTTGGGAGCCAGGCCCAGCCAATCAGATTGAGTTTTTCCGCACAAAAGGGCTTTATTACGGACAGAAATACGAAATACTCAACACTCCCCCCTCCCCCCTCAGACATCCCACAGGTGAAGAAGCCCGGATGTGGAGGTCCTGGGCTGGCGTGGTTACTAGTGGTCTGCGATTGTGAGGGCGGTTGGACGTCCCTCCAAATTCTCTAAAACGGTGTTTGGAGGCGGCTTATGGCAGAGAATTAACATTTAATTATCTGGCAACAGCTCATGGACATTACTGCAGTGAGCATGCCAATTGCATGCTCCCTCAAAACTTGAGACATCTGTGGCATTGTGTTGTGTGACAAAATAGCACATTTTAGAGTGGCCTTTTATTGTCCCCAGCACAAGGTGCACCTGTGTAATGATCATGCTGTTTAATCAACTTCTTGACATGCCACACCTGTCAGGTGGATGGATTATCTTGGCAAAGGAGAAATGTTCACTAACAGGGATGGAAAAAAACTTGTGCACATAATAATTTGAGAGAAATAAGCTTTTTGTGCATATGGAACATTTCTGGGAACTTTTATTTCTGCTAATGGAAAACGCCACCAACACTTTATATATTGCGTTTATATTTTTGTTCAGTATAGATGTAGGACCATTACATTTAGTTAAGGAGGAAATCAAAGCTTTTGCAGCCTGAATGGAGAATGTTTTATGTACAAACCGGTCCCCAGGGGACACGAGTGTACTACTGGCTGTGCACATCAAGCCTAGATTAATTATTTTGCACATAACTTGCTACATTTGCACACACTGTATATATATTTTCTGTTGTATTTTTGACTATGTTTTGTTTTACCCCATATGTAACTCTGTGTTGTTGTTTTTAATCGCACTGCTTTGCTTTATCTTGGCCAGGTCGCAGTTGTAAATGAGAACTTGTTCTCAACTGGCATACCTGGTTAAATAAAAAATAAAATAGACGACAGTGGAAAAAATAAAGCCCACTAGCGGCTGCACAGGCTACTCTGAGGTAGAACCAGACACCATATAAGGCTCTGAGGTAGAACCAGGAAGTGGTCATCCTTGAAATAAAGACAAATATAAAACTAGAATTACCTGTCCAACAACAAGAGGGACGGGGTGATTAAAGTATACACAAGGGTAATAAACGTGTTTTATATAGTTCTCAACCTTCATGCAGGTTGATAAAAGTAGAAGAGCCTAGAACGAGGAAGTAGACAACTCTAGAACAAGGAAGTTATCAGCATCAAATTAGCCTGAGCACAAATCTACAATAAAAATGTTTATTTGCTAAAGAAATAAAAACACATTACTACACAATTTCACACACTGTCCAAGAAAATAACATCACTACAAAATGTCCAACACAATGAAGAAAATCATCTCTACAGTCACAATCGTGGCCCCCAGAGATTTCTTGGAGCCTATCAGCAACCAGGGACCAAAAGGGGGCCCATCAGTAACCAGGGGCCAAACGGGGAGCCTGCTGCTCTGTTGGCTTGTCCTCTGGAGACCTCATCATCACTCTGACTGACTGTATCCCAAATGGCACACTATTCCCAACCTGAGTCCTACGGGCCCTGATCAAACGTAGTGCACTATACAGTGAATTGGGTGCCATTTGGCACACACGCTATTTCTAGAACTGTTGAGACCTCAGGTCTGGGACAACAACTTGTCCCCTGTCAACAAGACCCACCGCCCTCGCCTGCTTGACCCCTTGGCTGTCACCAGTATCCCCAAAAGCCCCCCACGACCTTCACGGTGCTTGTGCAAAATGTCAAAACCAGGCTAAAAATAGAAGCTACACACTGTCAGAAGCTATAACAAGACGGGTTGAGAGAATGGCCCGGAATGCTTTTAGCAACGGCTTGCCTTTATTCTGCAGCCATACCCGT